TACATGACGAGATCGATGAAACCCTATTATCACGTCGTAAAAACCATGCAGGGCGAGTCCTTCCCCAACAGTGGATTTTCAGAGGGATTTGCCGGGAGACTAAAGTAGTGTTCTTGTATGCAGTGCCAGATCGAACTGCGGCCACTCTGCTGGACACAATCCAGGCCTGCATCGCTCCCGGCTCAATTATCATTTCCGATATGTGGGCATCATACCAATGCATTGAATCGATGATTGGCATGAGTTATACTCATCAAACGGTTAATCATACCGAAAACTTTGTGGATCCAACGACTGGAGCTCACACACAAACCATCGAATCTCTCTGGCACATTTACAAGATGCAGAATAAGCGCCAATGCGGCACACACCGAGCTTTTATGGACAGCTACCTGTGTGAGTTCGTTTGGAGGCAAAGACACCAAAAAATGGACCTTTTCATGCAAATTATTAATGACTTGTCTCAATTTCACCCTCTTCAATAGAGAGTAAAAGTTCAAGTTCCATATCCTCCCTTTTCATAATCATTTTTGGGTGGCGGGGCTTAACTTTTGGCGGGGCTTAACTGGAAAAGATCCAAATATAGCTAGTTGTCCATCTGTGCGGACAGGATAATGGAGTGATCGTTGGAACACCTTGAGTGGTCATTTATTTTCGGTGTTGATCTAACCTATGCCGCGTATGCATGTTTCGGAGTCACAATCATGGTTAAATGGTCGGAATTCGATTCCCAAATGGTAATGCTTCACTAAAAGGCTTTCCCTATGACCGAATTTTGCCCCACATTTGTCTTACTGGGTTGGCCGAGAACCCTAAATGCGCACGATTAGCCGATGCATCGTGGTCACTCGCGAGGACTGTGCGTGTGCAGTTGTTAAGGGGGAATGGTCCAATATTCTGCTGTATTCAAACATTGCACAATTTACTATTATTTATACTTCTGCGAGTGACCTGAAGACATAATTAAGTGGGACGTCTATCCGCCCAGCACTTCATCTTTCCCTTTTTCCTTCCCTTGCCTTTATCCTTCTTTCAAGTCACTGGACTAATATCACCTGTCATGCGGACATTGATTGCCTAACCATGATGTGAATCCAGTTTTAAATTGATTGCACAAGCTTTGCCATGAACGAAGGACGCACATACGATTGATATTTTATCCTTCCTGTACCCGTTGAACTTGACCAGATGAAATTACATTTCTAGCAGTGCCATCCAAGTCGCTGATGGATGTGCGAAGCCGTTACTGCCCAGGATGCAATTACCAACACTATTGAATCACGTACGTAACCTGATCATTCCATTTCAAAAAATCTATGGTTTTACGCTCTGCTTTGCCTCCGGTGGAAAACGTTACTCCTGAAACATCTTTGTGTGATTTAATGCTGTAAACCGAATGATGCAAAGCAACAGTTATTGGGGGCCTACGACGTGTGGCTAGAATTGTTTAGAAATACACGCACTTCATTGCACACTTCATAACGGCGGCCGTCACCTATGTTTTTATTTTATTTCATTTTCATTTTTTTATTTCATTCTGTCGTTTCAAGTGCTTGGCTGTTGCTTGATATCCCCGGTGTCGCTGCGCTGGATGTGCTGGTTGACAAGGCGCCTACCTGTCTATTGCCCACTACCTCGTCCATACTGGCTCCAGAAGACAATTGCTCGTTGCTGGAGGGGACGGGGTGCACGGTCCTTGTTGCCGTGCTAGGCTCGAAGAGTGGTTGCATGCAATCTATGTGGAGTGGACTAGGGTCCAGCCACCGCCTTGTGTGCGCTTGATTCCCCAAATACAGCTTGCATGTGTTTGCCTGTGAAGGAGTGTGGTCTAGCTCCGTTGATGAACCCTGGCTCCCATCCACATGCCTTCCGGTCTTATTCCTTCGGGTTTACACTGGATATGGAGTATGTGGTCGGAGCTGTGGGGGGTGTAGCGCTAGCCACCCATGGTCCCTAGATATATATATATATATATATATACATATATATATATATATATATATATATATATATATATACATTCTGGCACTTACAGTTGTCGTGAGGCGCAGGTTTGCATGCAAAGAGGGGTATTCCTACCTAAGGTCGCCAGTTTGACATGTCTAGCCTAAGCTGACCACAAGTCTCAACTTTGCTGTTATCTATTCTTCTGACCAATACGCACAACAGCCGATCACATATTCATGCTTTTTCATGCAGTCCACTAATGAGCTACGTGGTGTATCAGATGCCGCCAATCCCATCGTTGGACCTCTCTCATACGACAACTTCACTTTTCCCTCGTTACCTTTCATTACTCTTACCGCCACTGTAATGATCTAGGCGTAAGACGAAGATCTTCAAGGTAATACGCGCTCACCTTACCACATACGCAAACTGTCGCCGTTTAACCACAGTCGGCCGCAGCTTGTGTGTCATATTCACAGACTGTTCTAAACGCATTGTTCGTCTCCACTTCGGACAAACATCCTTTGCCACACCACTCACTCTCTCATTCTGTTACCCCAGCGTCGTTGAAATCGTTCATCAAACGTCTTATTTGGTCAAGCGTAATCAAAGACGTGCGAACCTTGTTTCGTGCCTACCTTCAATGTGTGTGCTCGAAAGTGTCCAGACATACCCGTGGTCAGCTTTTTTCCATATCAGACTCTCCGTTCAAGCAAGTGCGCTTTGACACCTTAGGCTCTTTACAACCTCGCGGATCCGTAAGCCTGTGTATCCTAACTCCCTGGTTGAGTACAGGTAATCTCCTCTCTAGACTGTGAAGTTGAGGTTGTCATCCGTACTCTTTTGAACCCATGGGTATAAGACCCATCCACTTTTATCGTTCGTCGCGAAATATCCTTCAAACCTACACGGTATGACACGATTTGGTAGCATCTTAGGATGCCAATGTATTAAAGCCAAAGTATGAAATCCCGTAATCAAAACCTGATACAGTGGATAGAATTTGGCTTCTGCATGCCCGAAAACACTGCATTCCTTTGACACGTTTCGATCTTATTTCATCTCATCAGATTAAGCGTAGCGGTCACAACGAACATCCCAATGGTCCTGGATACGATGTCTACTATTTTTATCTGATCATTTGAAATAACACTAAGACGCAGTGTTTTCGGGCGGGCAGCGCCCAATTGCTATGTGCTTCAGCTACGGTCCTCGTGATCAAAAGGTCGACGTTTACTTCAAGAGGAATCGCGGTCAACACTGAAATCTTGCGTCGTAATCCATCCACACAACGTGAACTTCAAAATGACCCTGAATATCAACTTGATACAATGCTTCCGCAAAAAGCATATGCCTCGCCGTTCACCTGTACCGATTCTAACTGGAGCGAACATGTCTCACTTGTACACCTATGCATTCGCAAAAGTGTCACATATGATCTACCGTGCACACCAATAGGTTTGGCCTACAGTAAAGCAATTATATCACGGGGAACGCTGATTTTTACCTTCGTTCACATTGTGCATACATCCGAATAATTTCACCCCTTTTTTGCTCAACGCAATCGCTAACTACGCCATCCCTTTCCTCGTGAGCACACCTGAGATACACAGATAGACAGCGGACTCTTTAACTACATTCACATTTGCATTTTCCAAGAAGTGGTACGTTTTAATGTTCTGCGGCGAGCTATATAGCACTTTACCCCTAAGCAGAGTGGTCGCCAGACTGCTGTGTCCATTGACGGTCTCAAGATCACATTCTCCGTAAGAGCTGCATGTCATCCTGCCTGATGCAGTCATACAGGTCCTACCACTCGCACTGTCGCTTGCGCACGAGGCACCTCAAAAATATTCAGTCGCATTGATCCATCGCGTATGGAGTCTCAACTCCAGGCAACCGACTGGCGCGGGAAGTATGTCCTAGGCCCAAACGGGTAAACATTAGTAAACATTAGTTACTTCCATTGGTATTTTGCAGTGTTCACATGTTTCCCCCTAGCATTTCACGAAAACGATAAATACAAATTTTTCCTTTGGAAACCCCAAAAGGTGTACTTCTTTCGTTTTGTATGCTTTCTCAGACTCGCGTTTAACATCACGCCAACTGTTTCCACGATGTTCCACCTCACTCTGAGGTCCCAATTCCTGTGTCGCAACCCTCTGAAAGGCAAAGATGTTCTTTAGATTAATCTGTCCCAATCAAAAGTCCCGCCATTTTGGTCCAAGTTGTCAATCAGCGGTCCTTTCACACTTGTTCTCTGCAACCGACTTGGTCCACGATCCCCTGGCTACGCGATATTAACAATGATACCTGAAATTTCTGGTGGAAAGAGCGTCGTGCTAGGCGTAGATTAGGGGGCAGTGGGGATACTGACAATTTACAATCCCACTGTCTTGGTAGCGGAACCGGAATTATCCTGGACACGGTTTCCTGGATTAGCCACATTTCGTATTCGTAGGAGCCCCGCCGAAGGTCAATACTAACATACATACGGCGGCTCCATCAAAACAACAAGTACACTGCAACAAGTCTGGATTTATTAAACTATCCGCACACCATTTGTTATTTTATGGTTCACTCTTAATGATCTCCACTACTCCACAATTCTCACTTCCCCTGTCCCAGGCCAATAGGTTCCTCGAAGCCTTCTCACACTCGGTCTTCTAGGACAGGGCATTTGTTTGAAACCGAAAACATTTTGTTTTGTCACATTTTACTTTCTTTTGCACATCCTAACTGTCAACCTGCTTTACAGAATGCCATACGCGGTCACATGCTTATTCCTGATGGGTTGCGAGTCACTCTGTGCTATACTGTTAAACGCTTGCAGTTCCCCATTCATAGGTTTTTGGTTCCACCGTCTTGCTCTTCTACGTTAATCCGTATTTGGCGTGGCCCCACTTGTCGTTACTAATAACTAGCATCTGCATTGTACTCCACAAAACATAGAAGCGTTTGTCTTGGTGTTATAACGATGAATAAATAGATTGCGAATCACTTTGACCTTGACCTAACAATGACAATCCGACAAATATCTGTGCACTTGGAGTAACATTTTACCGAATGCTTCAGTACCGTTGGTTGATCGGGCATCTATTCTGATCTCAACAATCATATAGCACGAAGAACCTTGGAGTACAGATTGTTTTGGATTTAGCATTCCATTCGTTTCCACCATCGGCTTCAACCTCATGCAAGTGCCAAGACTACAATATATTTTTGTGGTTGCTGGACATCTGATTACTGTCGAAGTCCTGAAGCAACGGACGCCAAGTTGGTATGCAATCAACTGACGAGCAATAGCGGCATGCAAGTTTAGTCAGTCGCCCGTACGAAGGCAACGTTCGGTGTAACTAAGGTTGAAAGCAGAGTGACGAGAAATCGTACTTCAACTATTACTGACTAGAGTTGATGAACGGAGTATATTTAGATTAACCTATGTCGCGGAACAAAGTATATGATGAAGTTGCCGTGGATAAGGCTAACTATACTGGGCCTTTGATTTTCACTGGAGATATGAATACCTGTCCTTGCGTTTCCCTTCCGTCTTCGTCCACTTCTGCGACTCCCCGGCCAGTCGTGACAAGTCTTAGACCATCATCTGCGTGTACACGCCCACTCGGAGCATTGCGTATATTCTATCTTCCAAGGCCTAACTCTGTTGGTGCCAATCGGAATAAGGTTGTATCAACGACACAAGAGAAATGCCAATTAGAGAAGAATGTGCTGCACGCCAGTAAGCGCCAATACCAAAAGACGGGAATGTTTCCAAACCACAAGCTCGAGCAGAACCTTGTGACGGCGAAAAATTCAAGTTCGACAGTTGAACTCACAGCTGGTAAGTCGGTTCCAACAACGGTTAAGGGAAAGCCCCTGATGAACAAATCTGCACCTTTTTATTGTTATTGCACCAACAGCCGTGTCCGAGATGAGTCAATCGCATTCAGTACCCCTTCCAATGGACTAAGCGGTACATGTCGATTCGGCCCAGTTCCGGTATCTTTTCGATACCGTCAACCGAAACCCTTTGTGACTCAGCGAAGACAAGATCACGTGATGGCGCCATCATCGATCTCGTCTATCTCAACGGAAAATTTGCTACCCCGAGCAGCTAGCGAAACCCGGTCTCCGCATGGGAGTGGGAAACCTGCAGATGACCGGAAACAGTGGCTGTCTGGCGGTGCGATTTGTGTCACCACACAGCTAACTCCCGAGCCAGTGAACCATTTTTCTGTTGCACCAATAAAATTCCATCCGCCAAAAGGTTTCAGGAACTTGGTACCCAGCCGCAATAAAGACAACAAAGTAAACGAGTTTGTTTCTGAGACCCAGGAGAAAATATCACAACAGGCTGTGTTGTGCAATTTGAGTAGCCAGGAGTATAAGGCGATATTGGGACCTGACTGTATGTTTATCGATTCATGCGCAGCTTATCCTCACGCAGTTCGAAACCAATTGACTCTAACTGTTGGGAACCCAAATTTGACCAGTCATGACAAAACCAAGTTAAGCTTCTCGGCTGCAGAACCGTCAGGAATCACCAGTACACAGAGCGAATCACGCACTAAAGCAAATTCCTATGAAGAGTCGTCGAATGAAGACGGAAGCTGCCTCGAAGAGAAACAAGAGAGAGACAAAGTCATAATTTCGCCATCTCCTCTTGGGCCCCAAGTAGTAGAACATCTTGAGGTCAGACACAATGAAACCCAAGAGAACCCCCAGTCCGTAACGCCCTCTGCTCAGCGAGTTGAGTCCACTAATCTTGCTCGTAGTCAACCGCTTAAAACTGCGGGGTTTGCATTGGAACCGCATTTGGAGAAAAGTCTAAAAAATGAGGAGAATAGAGTTGCTTGCCAATCCCATATATTACTCCCCAATAGCGAAGCGTGTGCGCACAAATTTATTCAAAATTCTCAACACGTCCCGGATAGGAATTGCGAGTTCATCTCCAGTTCCAGTCCCAAACTGAGGGTGAGTTTGATCAAACCATCACGAAAGTGCTTTGAAGTTCGGTTGCCTGACAACTTCCAGGGTGAACTAGCAAGCTATGAACATTTGAACTTCGATGAGGCTGCATCACAAGCAACACCCCCGTTCCCTACTTTGGATACCCAAATCGATCAGGAGAAAACTAATAGGACGAATGAATCCGTCGATGTGGCATTCAAGATACCCGCTTACGCGCAAGCGCCTAAAACCCCAAACGAGCTTGTTTTAGATGGAACTGAGACGAGTTTGGAAGCATCATCAGTGGAAGATTTCGAGCCGCAAAGTAACCCGACAACAGAGGTTTCTCATTCATGCGCCTTCGCCGCAAATGGAGTAGAAAGTGCGTGTTTAGTGAGACAACAAAATCAACCGCATGATCTGAAAATAAACAATGCACTATTTGTACAACGCTTGCAGTGCAATAGACTAGAATTTCTTTGTGAACAAAAGACGAAGACTGAGGGTTTCAACGAGAAGTTTAACTTAGCGACACAAACATTTGACAATACTGCATATCCTGCCAACAGTAATGTTGCGAGTGAGGCTTGGATACAACCTAGTGTATACCAAGTAAAGCCAATCCTTAAGCGTCCATCGTCAACCTCTAAAGTATGTATAAGGAATGAAAGGAACGATAAGACGAACTCATCCAAAGATTTCTATCGTCCACACTCTGCTCAAATGACATCTAAGCGGAATTCTTGGATTTCCCAACGGCGCATGCTTGATACTAATGAGCGTCCTCGTGGAATGCTGTCAGCCAACCGACAAGCAGTTGTTCGTTTTGACACGCGCAGCAATTCTGTGTTTGAATTCAACCCCTTTGATATCATATACACTCCTTTCGATCACAGTGAACCATAGTTAAAGGACAAAAATCTATGAGCTCAGAGACTGTACAGAAAACCTATGATATGTGCCTTATACAAATATGAGTCGGTTATCATTTCCACTTAGAGTTCTTCATTCCAGTGAGTCAGCAGCAGCAGTTATATATATATATATATATATATATATATATATATACTAGAACACAGGGTAGTATGCGTGTACTAACAAACGTTGGAGTGTGTTGTGAGTAATATTCATCTATGAAAGTGTTAATTATTCCAGTTTGTCCGGGAGTGAGTGACGTGTCCAAACTTAGTCCCTGACTAGCAGATAATTCTAAAGTCCCAAGTGACAGATCTGGAATTCACGGGAATCCGTAGGCATCCAAACAAATTTAACAATATTTCGACTCGGTTGGAGCGTTGCACAGTTCTTCTTAGCGTATGATGACATATCATGCCAGAAGTTTCGCGTACAATTTCTGCGGTGGCCACGACTAGCGCCGAAGGAGATTCAAACTGCAAGCAAACGGCATCCACAAGTTATAGTTTATTCGGCCGCAGCGTGTGGTTGTCGAATCAACGCAGTGACAGAAACAAGCCCTTATGTACCGCCTAAATACATACTGCCCATGAAGTATGCTGTTTGTCTCACGAACAGCTGAAGTAAGTCAGTCTACCACTATCGCTTCCGCGCACTGCTATACACCGTACTGACTTCTAACCGCTTCTCTAGCAGTTTATCTGCTAGTTTCCTGTTGAATACGTAATTGTGCAAAAAAGTAAGCCGTAGCTAGAATTCACTCTAGACCCCAGTTTTGCGATCATGAGCTTCACTACCCAATTTTTTTAGTTTTGTTCAACCCGTCCCCACCGTAGGGATAGAAATCCGCATTACGTCCGTTTCCAAGATGAATACCTTGTCTCTGGGAGGCGTATCAGGTGTTACTATGCATCGGTGATAAGGTAACTGTCTGTAATAAACCGTACATCAGTTTCCTAAACTCATATACAAGTAGCAGGAAATGGGTGAAGGTCTGCCGTCGTCGCTTAGACAGCGCTGATAAAGTTAGCTAGCAGGTCTTTGAGAAGGATCCTTTTCAAACCAAAGGTCATTTTACCTGGTCATGAGTGTGTGACTCACGCACTAATAACCTCTACGTGTATATTGTTCATGATCCTAGAACCTGTTTTGCAGTGGCACAGCTAAATATGCACATGAGTAACCATGTTCTTGCATGTTCGCTAATCATATATAAAATTATGTATAAGCTTTAGGTATGTGCTTCATATAATGGCAATTTAGTGCATGGTTAATGTGAAAGCCAAGGTTTGGAAGCATGAGCATTTATGTGGTTTGAGCCCCTCCTAGAATGGTTCATCGGAAGATTTTCCTACGTGAATACAATAAGTATCGTATTCAGGTCACGGTAACTTGCAAGTCTGTTACTAATTGTTGTCACTTTATCACATGAATCGAATGCGCTTGACAGTTTATTCCAGAGATAGGTGTATCTGACCAAGAAGAAATAATATGATATTATTAGTTGTGTAACTCTCGAGTTTAGACATGTTACAGTTTGTGGTTAGGCAGATCGAGTAGGTCTTTCATGTTATCGGTTGAAAAATAACAATAATCTATGCTTTCATCGTCGCATCCACATTGAATCGAGCTGAGGATTCTTGCAACACTGTCGACAATTGAAGGCAGAATACTAGTACTATGTTCCAAAAGTGAATGTACTGATTTACCTAAGAATCGTTAGACCAAGTACTGCCTCATTGGTGGACACTGACGCATGAATAGGGACCTTAGCTGCATGTCAATAATTGTTTTAACTCGATCGGCCGAGTCATTCCCGAGCTACAGCGGTTTGTGTAACATCGTGTATTAATATGTCGTTACGTTTGAGGTGAGACGAAATACCGAACAACGGTCCGCTAGAAAATTGTGTGTGAAGGTTAAGAAGTCTGGTACGGAGACAATTTGAAATTTAACAGAAGCTTATGAAGCTGCCACTGTATCGAGGAATATGATTATTAGCTGTTATAAAGCTGTCACAGATGGTCAAGAAAAGGTTGAAGACGAACTTGGTTTCGTAAGGCCAATCTTGTCAACAAACGATTAAAGTGTAGAAGTTGTGCGAGTTGTGCAGACGAAAATGATCGTGGAATTCCGCACAAAGTATTTGTACCTCAGGACAGACAGCTAATCAAGCCTCTACAACGGTACCTTAGAATTACTTCAAAAACGAATCCAGCGAGTCCGAAGGGACATTGCAGGCGGTTGGGTGCTGCATCACGATAACGCTCTTGCTTACACAGCGCTTGCGAACAGCGTGTGAGTAATGAGTGATTTCAGCGTACTGTATTTGGTGCAGGAAGAGCGAGTGATCCGCTCAGCACCGTTATTTCACGTCCCAGGCTGCGATAGCTGCGTTACGTGTTGTGCATGCTCGTCCAACCACTCCCGCGTCATAAATTGCTTGCGCTACCGTGGGTTGGATAGAAGAAGATGAGAGGCCAACTGCTGATTTGGTCAAAAGGAATGAAGTCCCTTCAGTTCCGGGTTGGCTTCGGTTGGTACATCCTGAATGCCGAGTTGGGGTACGAAGGACGAGGAACACGTTTGTTTGAATACACTTGTCGATATGGGGAGGCGTTCACCTCTATGACGCACTTGTTGTGAGTTTCTTTGTCCTTCCTCACCCCATTTATCTTCTTCCTTCCAACCCAACCTCAGCATTGCATCATAATAGGTTATTAAGTAGTATATTACCCTAAGGTTTTTACATTGTTCCAGTAATGTTTTGGACCTGGTTTTCCATATTGCCGCACAATAGTCGAAGTGTTTTTCACCTTCGGCTAGTCTATAATGATGATAATGACCTTCTACTCGACTAGCCAGTGGGTTGATGCCGAAGTTTGCAGTGTACCAACTCCTGCTTACTTTCGAAAATGCATTATTTTACAATATGAAATAGCATGTGGGCGGGTCTGAATAGATAAATAAATAAATTGTGCATTCTTCGACGATGCGAGAACTTGTTCTCCAAAAGGGACGGATAAAATATTAGGCACATCCTTTTCATGTCATTGCACTAATAATTTCTCAAAAATAAATATGTGCATACATTTCAAAGTTAGATAACACGACGTAAGCCAACTCTTTTTGCTGTTTTTCTATGGCTATCGTTGAACCAGGGTTCTTCACAATCACATAACAGATGTTCGAGTCAAGAAAAAATGAAATGAAGTGAAAAGGACTGTGGTTCGAAATTTATATCTGTGGGATGTCCGTAATTTAGTCAGGTGCCATCGGTACCGTTCTCGAAAGCGTTATACAGGGATTGTAATGTCCCAAACATATTAATCGCCTTTTGTACTGCTTACTAATCGAAAGCCTAAAATTACGAAGTGTACAGCATGTTCTGGTATCTTGGAGATTTGTTCCACATCTTTGATTACTGGACTAGAAAAACACTTATCTGATTCACATGAATTTGGAATGGTGACCTTCATCTCTTCTTTGCTTATCGGGTGTATGCGGTTTAAAGACATGTGAACGCCGTCATCGGAACTGTTAATTTGATGGTTTATGATTCTGTCAATAAAAAATTAGGTTCAGCTTCATTCTCCGAAGCCAGACTGGGTCAAAGTTAAGCATTTGGCAACGTTCTCTCTATGTCACCTTTGAGGAATAACCACATAGCTATTTCGTGAAGCGCCGCTGGACCCTCTCAAGATCATATTGACTGGATTTTCATGGACTCGATTAAAACAATGAGCAGCATTTAATACAATACATACCTTTTGTAAAGTCGTTTGCGAGATACCACGCGAAACATTGATGGCATATGTATCCGATCGTCTTTATGGCCTTCGAAACTGGAAAGTCACTGTACAGAAAAATTATAAGTAACTGAATATCGCCTAGTCAAGTCGCGAACCGCCCAGCATTGCGAGATGCATGTGTCCTGCGTTAAGAGACTGTCTAGCGATACCTGGCATTTGTGTGACAAATATTACACTTCTCCACGGCAATTGAGGTCTGCCAGTTGGCACTAGGATTTAAGCAAGTAGGCCAACCTGAATGAAACGTACGGCTGCTTGGGTATTTGTATCTTCTTGTGAGTAGACAACTTTAATATCCTCAGCAAATAGAAACAATGGAACAATGGTTTTATACGGGTAAGAAATCGAAAACTTAACAGGTCCCTTATACTGGTCATGGTGAAAGTTCAAAATATAGAATTGTCAGCAAAATTAGGTTTACTCTAATAAGCTCACTGCAGTATCCGTGGCACAAAATTTAAATCCAATGTAATCCATAATGAATGACGACAAATGAGAGGTTGGTAACAAATCGTATCGCATTTTGGTAAACACAAGGGAGGTGAAAAAGGTGGGACATATGCTGGGAGTTAACCAGGCCGTCGTATTTATCCAAGGGTACTGAGTCATGTGAGATAGTGCAGCGAAATGAGTGTACCGTCAACTAGGGCTTTGAACTCTGCCATCGTGAGGGCACAGATGACAGATACTGGTAGGGCATTCCTCGTTTTGCACACGTGTACCGAAAAGAAATTCTGTCTGCAATCTAAATGATTATACTGCTCTGCCAGCTAGAGATGGTGACCTCTCAAATTGCTGTTGTGACTGAGCTCTAGCAAGTAGCGGCGCGTGTGGCTGGGATCTCTCAAAAGCTGATGTGTCAAAATGAGGTCCACACGGAATCGCCGATACTGTCCGCTGAAGACACCGAGCTCATGAAGCCTACGTTCATACGACAAATCATAGAAACGCAAGACATGTTTGGGTGTCCGGCGTTGGGATATCTTCAAGGCGGTGAGATCTCTCCTTAGCCATGGCTGCCAGACCCGTATTGCGTATTCCACATGTGGCCGTATGTAAGAGACGAGAAGCTATGGAAAAATAGAGGGGTCGAATCGTCGGAATACACGCTTGAGGGGGTCCACGTGTTGGATACCCCTACTTGACGCTGTTTCAGCTTGATTCGAACATCCAAGCTCGACTTGGACCAAAACTCCAAGATCCGTCTCGCTAGAAGACGGTTGAAGCTTTTAGGTTTCGGAGTTTATGGGAGTGCACCAACTTGTGTCCTAAGTGCAGCACTCTACATTTGTCCACATTGAATCGAAGTAGATTCTGGATTGACCACGCGGATGCCTTATCCAGATTGGGTTGTAGTACTGTGATATAATCTGGTGTTTTGATCGAGCATGCATTATGCTTACCTACTGACTGCCTTTAACAGTTTGCGATTGGTTTTACGTTTAGTTTGGTGGACACCTTTTAGGAGCACTGCTGAATCGATGCAAGAAAACTTCATTGAATTACTCCACTGGTGACTGCTTTCGGTTCAAAGAAATCATCGCCGATGCGCAACACCTAATGCCTACTGCTTAGATATGAAGAAAACATTGGTTCTCCAATGCCTATGGCGTTCATTTTGTTGAGTAACTTTCGATGAGGCACTCTATCGAAGGCTTTTCGCATGCCTAGAAACAAGATTACAATACTGTTTTCATTGTCTATGGCAGCCGTTGTGTGGTTTAAGAAATCTGTTTGGCATGATGCGCAAGATCGACTTTGCATGAAGCCGTACTGAGAATTGCTGATGTTGGCCTTGTTCAAGTAGATAAGTAATTCATCTTTCATTGTTCTTTCCATTATTCTAGATAGGATCGATATGGGATTGAGGGGACGAAAGTTTTAACTTCATGGGCGGCTCCATTTTGTGTCTCGGGATAACGACAGAAGTCTCCCGTTGAGTAGGATACACTCTGTTTTTAAAAGAGAGTGTAAAGATGTTGAGCAAAGGGAGAGGCAAGTCACTACCAATGGTTTTGATTAAACAAGAATGGATTCCATCAGGCCCCGCGTAAGTCGAGGGGAGTAAGTGAGAGACTTGATAGTGCTTTTCGCAATAGTGCATTCCACTGTGCATAGACTTTCACCGTTGTGTGGCATGATAAGTGCTGGTTTGTATGATGACTTATTAACAACTGGTTCGACAAAATAACCGATGAAACCTTCACAAATATCCCCTGGTGCGTCGAGTTATGTTCCATCAGGTGTGGTGATAAAATTAAAAGTGTTGCTGCAATGAAAACCCCGAGCACGGAATAGTTGAGTTGTTTTGCTAGGACCTTTCAAAGCTTCACACTCTTCTAGAATGAGAATTTTGTCATTCGGAGCCTTAGTTCTTAGATGATTTTAGACAGCTGGAACACTATCGCAGTCATCATTCAACCAGTATTTTCGCCAAATCGTATGAAGCTTGCCTACTACCTTTAACAGCTTTCGATTGGTTTTATGTTTAGTTTGGTAGGGACGTTTTAGGGTCACTGCTGAACCGATGCAGAAGCCAATTAAGGGTTAAAAAAAGTCCGTTGCGTGCTGAGGACATGAAGAGAGAAACTTATGCGAAACGCTAATCCTCATGACACAATAACCAGCAACACACCCCTTATTTATTAATGGTAAATCCGTAATTGCCTACTAGGTCGTTGTAAAGAAAAAAAATGTTTACTTATGCACTTTTGTATGTATGTTTTACAAAGAAAGAGGATGTTGTCGACGGACGAGTTACAACCGTTGTCTGATTACGACCGGTAGCAGACCATAGTGTAGTAAAGTCGAAAGGCAGGTGATAGTAATCACGGTTGTCCACCGTATCATGAGTAGGCAACGTCTTACGGAGGCAGCGGTGAGGATAATCCTCACATTAGTGAGTACTTGTCGTTGGGATGATCTCTGTAGGCCAGTGGATGGTGAGGGCGACTCAGATGAAAACGTACTGCAAATTCCATCTTACACGCATCACACACTTGTTTGATGCATTGCTTTAATTTTCACCGATATCCACAAGGTTTACCACTGACTCGCTAGGGCTAACCGTCCCAAATTAGTATAGTGGTCAGGTAGCTTCCTATCGTTGTCCGCGGTTACCGCCAAGGCCTCGAGAGTTTAGAGAATCCACTCATATGCCACACTCCTTAGCCGCCAAAAGCGTACCTACAACTTCGTAGTCTTGGTGTTTCCGATATGCAGGAAGAACTTTAGATAATGAAATGCTACGTATTCTCGGGTACATGTATATTGCACACACACTGGTGAGAAACCATGCAGCTGGCAACGGGAGATGACCATTTTGCATTCATTTGTTCAACTACAACCACTGAGAAGTTCAAAAAACCTCAGTGACATTTTATACTTGTAATCTTCACTTATTCGGGCTACCATCTGTGCGTTTAGACTCGTGAAATACGCTGTAAGGCTATGGACCTTGCGTATTTTTGTCTACGCAATTGGTCACACTTTGGAGAATCAAAAGTCAAAGGATGGGCGAAACTCAGTAATAGTGCTGAGTAGGACAGTGGTCTACTGATCCATGCAGAGAAGTTTAGGTGAAAACGGCCAAACATTCAGTACACATAGATACCAGTGAGCCGTTAAAAGATGAACAGCGCAAGCTTGTCTGTGCTGCACCGACACAGCTGAGCAAATTCAGCTAGGTGAAGCTGTACTTTGATCCGGTCGAGTGGTAACTGTGAATCGATCAGTTGAACGACAAAGCGACCTAATCATTCGCACGACGCCTAAGGCGTATTGATCACTCACACTCAACATTGTGGCTGTAGTTGCTTTGTGAAACGGCGCGCGTAAGGTGAATGGTGCTGAGGACTCCGAGGTAACACAGCATCTTGTGGACTACAACTAAAATATACTTTAGTAAGCTAATCACGTGCAATAAAATCGTTTTCACACAATCATCTTGCAAAATATGAGGTATGTGATTTTGAATTTTATTATCTTTTCTGCTTAACAACGCTACATTAATGCAATTATTACGTACATCACTTAAAAAGGAATGGCTCGTGGTGGCTTTAAACTACATTATGCTTTAAGTTAGAACCTAGAAGTGAGCTGATGTCCAAGCCCACCAAAATTGACTCTAATGCGGTACGTCCCTGTAGCTCTGACGTTCTTGATCAATTTATAATCAAGTTTTCGAAGGTCACGGGAAAGAAGTTTTACTGCTGACCTGAACATCAGGTTCAGAGTCTTGCACCTCGTTTGAATGCGACTGTCAAAAAAACATTGAACCATGACCCCATACCACTTAATCATGTGTAATTAAACCATTGAGGTGCAATAACAAGTCTGGTTTACCCTACTGAATTTACAAATTAATTCAGATCAACCTAATATTTGATGGCATCCGGTTTCGGATTTGCCTGCCACTGGACGCCTGCGCCTACCGAGAAAGCATGGGTGGCATGCGCTACACCACCCAAAGCTCTAACCACACACTCCATATCCGGTGTAAACCAGACGGAATAAGACCGGGAGGCATGTGGATGAGAGCCACGTTTCATCAACGGAGCCGGCCCACACTCCTTCACAGGCAAACACAAGCACGATGTATTTGGGAAATCAAGCGCACACAAGGCGGTGGCTGGACCGTAGTCCGCTCCACACTGAGTGCATGGAACCATTCTTCCAGCCTAGCACGGCCACAAGGACCGTGCACCCCGTCCCCTCCAGCAACGACCAACTGTCTCCTGGAGCCAGTATGGACGAGGTAGTGGGTAATAGACAGGTAGGCACCTTGTCAACATACACATCAAGCGCAGCCACACCGGGATATCAAGCAACAGCCAATCAGTCGAAATAACATTATCAACTAAAGTATATCTGTTAAAGCATACGGCTATGCCAACATAACTCTTCCCTAAATTCGCATATGAATTAAGTTAGTTATCAAAGAATAAGCGACAAGTACAAAATGTCCACAAGTTACTCGAACAATGTTGCAAACGCAATAAAGTTAACGAAGATAAGCGCAATTAGCGTAAGCAACGTGTACAAGTTAATAGAAGATTATTTAGGGAGGCAGAATAAACCAAATAAAGTGGAATGAAATTTATCGTTTAAAAAGACCTACTTTAAGTGAAAGCGGGTTTAGCCTAACTGCGGTGAAGAAGCATTATGAATGCAACATCAGCCTCTGCATGAGCTAAATGCACTCGGCTGTAGCACACATGTGCATCATTGTAAGAGGAATAGCTCAACATACACGCATACAAATAAGTGGCTAAAAATAACGTAGCCAGCGGTATGATTACAGTACAACCCTGTGGGTAAAATCTTTAACCACTAAGTTCTGGTTTCGCAAAAGCGCACTAGGTGAGATAACAGACGAGTAGTTATGCATGGGAACATACTTGAACTTGTGTTTTAGTTCCGTCGATGAAGTTGATGCGGTATCAAGTGGGGCATCATGGAGTGGAAAACGTGGTTAGTAAATATCTTGAAACAGGTTTCTTACAAGAACAGATTTGAGAGGAGAAAATAAGTTAAACAAACATCGGAGTTGAAATACTGGTACATGAATACAATCGCGTGGTTAACCTAAGTAGTATCTCGAAATGCTTAATTGATAGAACAGGACATATCACGACGGCGCAATATGTCTAGTGGGACAACGCACCGATGGTGACAAATAGGGGGTTAAATAGCGGGGGAGGCAGAAGAACATTGCAACCGTGCAAAGTAGAATGAAAAAGCCCGGATTGGGAATACTTTGTCCATATGACCTGACCAACGGGAATGGTGGTTTAGCGTGAAACACAAACGCATCACTGAGATCGGGTAGTACAACTCGGTACCGCCTGTGCGAATTTTCGGGCACTCGGTGAAGAATTTATGATGACAGCCGCAATGCATTTTAATGCATAACACAACATGTCAGAGCTTTGGACCACGGTGTAAGAAGGTCCATAATGGTTTGCAACATGGCAGATGAGCTTATGGTCGGATGCATGATGCTATAGATAATCTCATCCGCATATTTCAGCGGGGTCGCTTCACCAAGGACAAAAGTTGTGTTGATGGAGATAGACATGAGGAATGGAAACAGAATATCGCTCTAAAGGATACCGGCATTAATAGTTAGCAGCAGCGAACTTTTACCGTCAGGTTGTGTAAAATGGGTATGTGGGGAAATATTCTCACAGCGGATGGATTATAGGAGGCTTAGTTCAATCATCTTCCCACAAAAGCAGCTACTCTTTTGCACGGCCGAAAGCGTTGCTGCAGTCAAGGAAGTAGATTGTCAAGGTTTGATGTTACTGTCTACCGATGACAGCGTCGAAGGTAGGAGGCAGAGAGCAGCGTCTCATGTGGTCCTCAAACCACCGTAAATAAAGTAAAACAAGCCATTGTCTGAACGCGTCAGGGTTGGCACCGTTTGAAGAACAACTTTCTTAACTACCTTCAGATTTTCTGAAGTGCAAGAAATTTGCGGATATATTTGAATCTTTCCTTGACACTGATATGTTGCTAACACCTTTCTGACAATCAGGAATCATATGTTCAGTCATAAGAAGCGTGTGTAAATCAGCGAGAGGCCTGACCAGGGAATCAGCGCACTCCTTGAAAACGACTGATAATAGTCGGTCCGGACGAGCTACTTACTTGGAACTTATCTATGGCAGATTCCTGGACGTTTTCTTGTCAACAAGAGTGAATAAGTTCGTAGGTCACTGCGATCGGAGGAAGGAGCTGGCATGGCGCCAGTGTTGAGGTAATAGAAGTTTCGATTAAACTTGTCCATGCACATATTTGAACTCGGTATTTGGCAGGATAATACAATTAGTTACTTCAGCATCCATCAATCCTTTTGCGAATTGCAATCTTTGAGTACATGCGGTAAAAGTAGCGAAATAATGCTTGGAAAAAACCAAAAAAAGATTTCATGGAAGTGTGATGAATTTGGAGCGCTATATCATTGCGAGGACACAGCCGTTTGCTATGCGGGGATGCAAAAATAACTCTGAAGGAGGAATAGTCTCTAACGGATCTCAGGTATCAAAACGTAAGTTCATGTAGCGTGTCATCTGACACAAGACATTGATAGATCTGTGTTGGGATATAATAAGACATACAAACAAAATATCAGAAGACGCAAGTTTTAAGATGATTAGATAATTCCCGCATGCTTACTAATCGCAAACATGCAATTAAGAATAGCGAGTGAAGAAGTGAAAGCCGAGAGGGTGGTTTTCTGGCCAAAAAGTGGCCAATCAGAGCACTTCGAGCTATCGCAGTAGACTCGGAATTGCAGTCGGCTGTTTCTGTACGCAGCGCTGCAACCGTACTTGATCAACAAAGATGGTTTCCAATAGCATGAGAACGTGGGACTTCTGAATGCGCATCAGGACGGTAAGTGAATCATCGGGGTGACTTGGTGGTAGGTGCTTATGAATTACAAATTATAGTCACTCGACTGCAATGTGTGGAAAACAAATTGATCTCTGCTCCTTGTGAGAGAGAGATGCAGGACGTGTATGCCCACTAAAACAACGTCCAGAAAAAGAGCATCGCTGTATTATGTGGGAGCGCTAAAACAAAGAAAATACGGAATTCCAGGCTGATAATACCTAGACTGAACAAACGACCGGACGTCAGGTGAAAAGTGCGTCAAAAGCATTTCCCGCAAAGTCGCACAACAAGTCCAAAATTTTGCAAAGAAAGTGCACAGTCTTTCAAACAGAGTGCAAATTTCGCAAAGAAAGTGCAAAATTTTGCAAAACCCTGTGCGATTCGCCACCCGCTCTAAGCCAATCCTCTGACCTCAAGTGTGTTCTCATGAGCCGGGTGCTAGGGTTTGATGTGTAAGTCAAGTGAAGTGAACGCGCTGCCCATTGACTAGGTGAGACTTGTGAATGAACCTCGAGTCCAAACCCCTTGCACAAAGTTTGATAAACACTACTACTATAGAAACTGGATTTCTGTATCGCGTAGATCCAAGATAGTTGCACACGAGTAAGCGTTGTCCTTGCCACTTGTTATTTGTTTCTCGCCTGTTACGTGATCAATAACCACTCTCCTTATTGCTTTGTGTGCGCATGTTCTCATTTCAAACTCCCTTTATACGTCAGTGCAGTTAAATCTGTAACCGCCCGAACTGACGACCGTATCATCCCTTGATCTACCTTTTCCCACTTTAAACACTCTACGGGACATGCCAAGCACATGCCTTTTTACACGTTATAAACTCATTGTTCATTGTTGACATGGGTGGTGCCACGAGCTACTACGCTCCCAATCCTCAGGTCCGAAACGCTGGATCACAATTGGTCTGCGAGCAATGAACGGCCGGAACATAAGCGTACAACTCAATGGATGTCTTTCATTCCAGCGTGGCCAACGTGTCTTCTCGTGTTCCATAGAGTATCTCCTCGGACATTAGTGACCGAGTTTTTGATACCTTCGTCAACGGTGGCGACTAGCAGCTCGTGGCAACTGTGAACAATGTGAAATATCAAACTGCCTACTCCTGGATTCGTCGCCCTCTTGATTAAAAGCCGAATAATGCGCATGCGAGCGGTCGTAAGCGCATCCTGTCGGAGGAAGAGATTGATGACATACTGGAGTGGATCACGAAGGACGCAACTCTAACGCTACACGAAATTCGAGTCCGAGTACGTTCCAATAAGGATAAGGACATTTCAAAGTGGATGGCCGTTTGATAACTATATAGGACAACTATAAGACTCCAGAAGGAATGAACACTGATCGAACCAAAGACATACGAAAGAAGTTTGTTCAAAACTTTCTGGAACTTGAAAGTGAAAAGAAGTTCTTCCTATGGATCGACGAAACAAACCAACATTCACTTTAAACGTACTCGAGGTCCGGCGCCCAGAGGAGTGAGGGCCTGTGTCAAAGTAGCCAAAGGTAGAGGTCTGAATTTGCATCTCATCAGTGCACTCATAATGGATGGAAACGTTTCGATGACTACCCGGAGAGGCTTATTCACTGGCCCCCTTTCTCTTGAATGGCTGCGAGGAATGTTAGACAAGTCGAAGCGGAAAGTGGAGCTCCGGCAGGTGGTCGTAATGTGTTACAATGCACCTTGTCACTCACGTTTGGAAGCACTTGCTTCAGTCGAAGGATACTCCCCGTTCCTCAATCCCATCGAAAATGTTTGCCAGATAGTGAAGTTCCGAGTGAAGAACAAAATGCGAATGCAGTACGATGAACTTCTGGCCGGAGATCCCCAGACCTCATGACCCAAATGGAATGGAGGTTGCACTTTCTGGAAGGCATTGCCATAACATCAAGCATTGAGCTGAATGTCGTGGGATGTCGTAACGCGATTCGACATATCCGTGTACATTTTCCTGGTTGTTTGAAAAAAGTGACGTGCTTTTCTTACGTTTCCGGCTCATCACCTTAGATATCTGATTAGATAGTGTATACCACTAGGAGCGAGTAGAGACACAAGGAAATTCAAAGTCTCAGCGAGAAATGTATACATGTACGTGCGGTTATACATACGTACGGAGATTGAAGCGATATCTGATGTCCAGCGTTAGGCAATGACATGGGACTGGCTTCCAAGGAGACATGTGCGAGTGATGTTTGTAGCATACCGTCTACTTCGTACTGGTGTGCATCGCGCCTTAATTGTTCACGAAAATCCTTAGGCAACGCAGATAGGATTTCAGAATTCCGAAAACTAGGACGTCTGCAAAATGAATTAGCGAAATTCTGGATTATAGAAAGGCATGAAAAATCCACAAGGGATTGATGCATCAAAAATAATTGATATGTAACTCATTGCGCGGACAGTAAGCCACCGGAAAGTGGACGAGTATTATGCTTACGTTACTGTGATGTCCGGTCAGAGTGCACTTTACACGATGCTAGACATAGCCAGCTTTGCATTCAGAGTAACACTGTGTCGCCCAGGACAAATAGTGCGCGTGATCGCGTCGCATAACCGGTTTCGCTGCCACTTTGTAGTACAATTGCGCGAGAGCTTGAGAAATGGATTCACACCTAAATACGGATGCATGGCTTGCAATTATGATTTATCGCGTCTCTCTTTTGGCGAGCCAGCGGTTAACGATTTTGAGAAGGGCATAGCGGACTTGACCGCCATGGGTCCAGGTTGTGGTCGCTGATCGTGTCTAGCACATAAAATCAGCCCGGGCGAATGGACGCCGGTTTACCACACGGCATGATGATTAACGCGTTCTGTCAGAGCACGTAGGGAATGCACAACTTATGTTTACCACGATCTCAAGGGCAATATTTCCGGCAAGATCGTCGATAGATTAACAGAAGTTGCGCATGCACTGGTTATGCCGCCGGGGGCAGTCGTTCGTTTTTCGCCCCCATGCCAGTAGTTAATTGCGCATAATACCACATCTGCGAACAACCGTTTAATAGGGCATTTCAGAGAACAACAACAACAACAACAACCGTAAAATTGTAGAGATCAGTTGTAAGTGCTGGCATCCGTTGCTTGTTCCAACGCTCCTGCATAAGATTTACAAACACAAGTGGCGCGAAACTACCAGTAACCCTAGTGCAAATTCCGTCCGTCGAGTAGGTCCCTTGTTTGTGGAGGCAATGGCGAAGTCCGTGAGCGTTATCGGGTTCATAGCTGACCGAAGGTAATACTGTGCAAGCTTCTGTGTTGAGAAGGAGCGCTCACCGATGGCAATGATGATAGCCTGGGGTAAGCAAGGTTCGCAACAAGATACCAATTTGCGGTGCGGTTTCATCATGGTGATATTTACGCATGCAGCTCAAAAGCACGAAATGTCCATTGAATTTTCTTTTTGGTTAACCCTTTCACAAAATGCTGTAATCTTTTCCTTTCGGCGAAGAATGCCGCCTTTTCTACATCTTCCTTAACATCACTAAACCGACAAGCACTGTTATGATCAAGATGAATATACGGCGGATTGGACGCTTAATTGCTTTTCTCCAATTCAGAGCGGTTTTTAGGATGCATTATCATTTTACACATTAGGGGTTCCCAGGCTGTCATTCCCTATCCTGTGATAACTGTCTTCCATGTGATAGCTTTCGTCGTTCCATTGTGAGCGAACTGCCACGCCGACTTCATTGTCCCAAGGGATCATTCGTCTCATCGCATGCTACCCCGACCCGATCGTCCGGCATTCACACACCTACTATGCCTTCTGTAAGGAAATGTACCAGCATTCGACTGGTGCTGAAAAATCTTACCGATCTTGACCTCATATGTTGACCAGGCATATGGTATGTTATCACGCATTTCTCCGTAAGTGCACTGTAAATCCCTCCGTAGTACACGCACGGCTTGTTACTCTACTCTTTGATTATATATGCTATGCGGAGTACCCTGAAAAGGAGGTTGATAAAGTGCTTACTGTCACGCATTACAATGTATTATCTAAGCTTGTTAAGGATACAACTTGGACTTTCTTAACCGAATTCCCCCCAGATGTTGCCTGGGAAACATTTACAAGGACGTTTAGCACACTGATTGCGCACGCATCGGAACAGAAGTCCTTCCAACCCCAAAACAAGCATACGTCATTTCTGAGGAGCAGAACACGTAAATGTATATCCCGGAGGGATTTGGCACGGCGAGATCACAAGGACTGCCCGAATGCCGAAACCTGGACTGCATACTTGACACATCGTAACTTCTGTGTGAAACTGATCCGCGAAGACAAGGTCACTCATCAGCAGGAGTTAATGAAGCGATTCTACACGAACCGCAAACCCCTGTACAGGCACGTTAACGGTCTTCGATAGGTGAAGCGGGGGATTCCAGCGCTAGTCACGACTGATGGGTGCACGCAATCAGCAATGGAAGTAGCTGATCTCCTACGGCTTCATTACTCCCAAACTTTCCAGCGGGTAACGAGCCCAAACATTCTCCTCATTTCTAATACTCCACCATCTGGTTTAGAAAAAGTCAACTTCACTGCGGAAGCTGTGTAGCAGAATTTGTTATCCTTGCATATCCACAGTTCTCCCAGAGTCGACAACATCCGACCAAAGGCTCTGCAGACGGTAGCTAGTGATTTAGCAGAACCAGTGGCTGTTTTCTATCAACGATGTCTAGAAGAGAACCGTATTCCACCAGTATGGAAGCGATGGGTCATCACTCCTATCCATAAAGGTGGTAGCCGCATTGATCCTGCTAACTACCGTCCAATAACACTACTTGCTGTGCTATCCAAAGTGATGGAATCAATCATCGCAGATGCGCTGATGCAGTATCCGTAAAGCCATAACTTAATAGCTCCAGAGCAACATGGCTTTCGTCAAAAGCATCCGTGTAATACTAACCTATTAATTGCACGTAATAGCTGGACTGAAGTTGTTGATGATGGAATAGGAGTCGATGTCATCTATCTGGACTTTTCAAAAGCGTTCGATCGCTTAGACCATCGCATTCTCCTTCAGAAGCTTAGGAACTACGGCCATGGCGACCCAATCTTGAGTTGGATTGGCAATTTTCTACACGATCGACGGCTAGTGGTACGAGTCCGAGAATCACTGTCTGATGTAATCGGTGTGACATGGGGAGTACCACAAGGCTGGGTTCTTGGACCTCGTCTATTCTTGGTGTTCATTAACGATTTGGCGAGATCAATTGCTTCCGATTTCCTATTTTTCGCTGATGATATCAAGATATGGCGAAGGATCAGAGGAACGGACGACCACGAACAGCTCCAGTGCGATCTTAACACAGTGTCGAACTGGTCAGTTCAAAACGCTCTACCATTCAACGTAGACAAATGTCGCGTTGTACAATTACGTCATAGACATGACTACACATATGTGCTTGGGACAAACGGATTGCAGACCAGCTCCCAGGAAGGTGACCTTGGTGTGATCGTACAGAACGACTTCAACTATTCAAAACATGCTGAGGTAGCTGCAAAAAGAGGCAACCAGCACGTCAGCATGCTGCGAAGGGCATTCGGGAGATTTGACATATCCAGCGCAATGATGCACAATTCCTACGTACGTCCGCATGTTGAATACGCAATCCAAGCTTGGCAACCTTGGTTGAAGCGCGACCTAGAAGCGTTAGAAACACCACAACGAACAGCAACAAAGAATGTAAAGGGCCTGCGCTATCGCTCTTACCCCCGAAGGCTGAAGTTGCTGGGAATTTCCAGCGGACGCTATCGAAGGCTGCGCGGGGATCTCATATTAGCGTATCAGATATTGAGTGACCCCAACCACGTATGCCGCCATTTGCTGAAACTTAGCCAAAACACGCAGCTCAGGGGTAACTGCTTAAAATTGATGGAACAATATAGCCGTCTGGAGTGTCGACGGAATTACTTTTCCCTTCGGGTTTGCCAACCATGGAACGCACTCCCAGACTCAGTTGTATCCTCTCCTACCTTGGACTTTTTCAAAAAAACGATTAGATGTTTCTCTCAGCTCCCAGCATTTTGTCACCTAAATTCCTCTATCGGGGATTACGCCAAGCATACTTTTCAACAGGATTTCTGTATCAAATGCACCAAAGTGAGCAACCATATTTTACTTTCCTCACGGCTTACATCAACCATCACTGCACCCCAGTGTCTTTTTGAAGGTTTACGCTCGAATTTTTTAAATTTTACACTGCTGTAATTTATCAAAGTATTCATCTAGGCAGACGTTCGGTAGATGACGCAGATATATTTTGATTTCATCATATTCACCCCAACCATCCTACGGGACGTGTCAAGCACTTGCTTTTATCCAGTGATAAATCATTGTTCATTGTTCATTTTAAGGCAACTGCTGGCACATCATCGAGAGAATCCCACAGAGTGCATGAAGCGACCATCAGGTGCCGCTGCGGAAAAGCTACCAATCAGCATGCGGTACAGACCAGTTGCTGAGGTGGATCCAGGCTCAGCACACGGTAGGTTGTAAACAGGAGTGAAAATTTCAGCATGATCTGGTGAATTTAGTAATCACACTTTATGTTTCATCAGTGGATGTGAAGTAATTCATTCCATTTTATACTAATTAACTAGCTGAGGTGTTGGTTACACTTGAGGAACGAGAAAAGTGTTAAAATTAACCCCTAGCTATGCAAGAAGCTACATTTGAAGTGGGCATAAGAATCGACAAAACGAAGGGACAAACAAAGAAAAGCAATCACATGCTGTGTTATATTTCGTTTTCCAGCCTCACCGTCAATGAAGCTCGTCGGAAACCAGAAAGTCGACGATCAGATACAGGTAGTTGCAATGTCCGCTGTTTTATGCATGTAGTTTCAGGCACCTTGGTCTCAATAGTTGCATTTCAACAGACAAATCAGACGACTGATCATCATATTAATGAAAGTCAGGCTTCATTGCTGTAACAACGGATGACGAAAGGTCATAATAATAATAATAGTGATAATACTAATAATACGTAAATTTCCCGATTGTACGAGAAGCTGTCCCTGAATTGTGGACAGATCATTGCTACAATAAGTATCATGCTCACGCATGCGTGAAATATGTACTATGGGGTGTATGATATCAAAATAATTTGGATCACATAACTTTTGTCGTTACTGAGTTCTGTGTACCAACTTTAATCATTGATTATATATTCCTTGGTCCATCCTGAAAGAAGTCGTGTGGTGATTTACCCGATGGAAACATGGTCATTATCGAGTTCCTGTCAAGGAATTTGCTAAGCTCAATGTGGAATACTCTTGGATTTGTGCAAGACCTGATTGTGGCTGGTAGGCTCTTCCACACGACAGCGTATTTGACGAGAAGTAGTATGATCGGATAGCTGTCCTGGTTCTCGGCACACATAATGTACCGGACTTGTTGCGTGTATTCCGAGTGAAATTATGTTGAATTTTAACTGTACACAGATTGCATTATGTCTTTTGGTTTATGAGATTGTGTATCAGCACCAGGTTATATTTCAGTCGTCGCAACCAAAGAGGTTCGAGCTTAAACTGCTGCCAGCGCTCCTGACAGCTCAACGTGGTTGATTTACTGAACAAGCGTTTTGTGAATGATCTTTGCAGGTTTTCTAAAGCTTTCCTGTCACCCATTCACATGTTCCCATAGATACTGTTGCAGTATCCAAGGCGTGAAGGTGTAAATATTTTGAAAAGGTCGAATCTGGCAGGGGTTGTACAGATTTTATGGCATATGTTAGCCACAGATCGTTTGGCATGTGCGATTTGATACTTAGCTTGCTCTGAGAAATTAAAGTTTGAAGAGTATCGTATGCCTAGATCACATGTGGATAGTTTCACACAGATAGGTTAATTGATCAGTTTAACAGACTTCAGGGATTAAACGGCCGTGTGACATAATGCATGATTTACTAGCTGAGAAATTTAGCATCCATGTGTGGCACCGTTTCCCAAATGAATCGAGGTCTTCTTGAACGAACAGCATTGCGCTATTGAGTTCGTCTCGTCGAAATTTATAAACTATCTTTATGTCATCGGCGAACAAAAATGGCCTGCCATGTTTTATGAACACCGTGATATTGTTAATATAAAGTAGGAAAAGCGAAGGACAAAGTACACTCCTTTGGATGACACCACTAGTGATTGGACGTGGGGAGGAGTTATGATTACCCAGAGTGACTATCTGGTAACGCGCATTTCGGTATGATGTCAACCAACCAAATAGTGAGTCTCTGATTCCAAAGCACTGGATTCTTTTCAGTAGCCGCTTGTGGGGCACTCTGTCGAATGCTTTCTGCATATCCAGGAACAGTATTAGAACTGTATATGTCGAATCAATGGTTTCTGTGATATAATCCAGGTAGTGCAGCTGATACGTTGTACAGGAACGTTTATCGAGGAATCCATGCTGGGATTTGTTAAGTAGCCCATGACGATGGATAAACTCCATGATTCCACTTTTAACTAATTTTTCGAGTAATCTAACGATGACGGGAGTATGATTGATAGGTCGATAATTAGTGACGTGCTGTTTGGCCACCCTTTATGACGAGGAACAATAAACGATATTTTCCACTGATCCAGAAAGTAGCTAGATTCTAAGGACCATGTGAACATGTTCAGCAAAGCAGTGGTATGCCAGGTCCACCAAGTTTAATAACTGATGGGGGGATGCTGTCAGAGTCTGGTTTGAGCGATGGTTTGATGAACTTCATAGCTTGTTGGATGGTCGAAAGATAGATCTCGACATTAACTATGCCGCTTGTTGCAAGTTCCAGGCAGCAAGCTATAGGGTCGGTTTCTACCTTTGTGGAAGCAGCGAAAGACGTGTAAACGTTTCAAAATAGCAGGTGGCAACTCTCCTCATCAGTAAGTTCTGTAATCAAAGACATTCGATTATTAGTCCTATGACGGAGTAATTTGGCCAATTCCTTTCCTTTGCATGTCATCTGCAAGGCGTTCTCCTCTTCCTTTTCAATCCGTTTCATTTGTGAGCGCTTGATTCAGGCGGTGGATTCGTGCAGCTGTAATACTAGTGAGAAGTCTCTAGTCTTTTGAATTTCCCGGATAGTTTGCTCATTTTCAAGCCACTTAGAGTGTCGCTTACATTCATAGGACAAGGAATGGCACGGTTATTATGCGGGACATGTACAGTTAGGATGTGATTGATCTGGTTGTAGAAATGTTCCACTGCAATGTGGGTGCTAGTGGAGAGAAAAAACCCATTCCAGTTAGAGGACCGGATCTGCTTTCCGAAATGCTCCCAGTCAATCCTTCATATAGTATGCTGGGTAGGTGAGTCGAGTTTGGTATTCATTTCTAAGCGGATGGAAAGGCGTAACATGTTGTGGGCACTACTCGGAAGGTTGTCTAAGATGTCAATTTGTACGTCAGGAATCTCCAGTATGTTGGCAGACCTAGTTGGTCTGGTAACCCACTGAGTCCAACCCCCAGCTCTGATAGTCGGTAAGAAAGACCTGTGCAATGATGATGATGTTTGTGGTGACCAAGTAATGTGCGGCAGATTGAAATCGCCAGCCATTATCTTTAGACCGTGTGGTAACACTGATGCGAATTCAAAAGTCGCTTTCGGAGGGTTGTAGATGCAACCGAGAAGTATTGTAGAGGAGGCTGCAACGACTGAGAGCCATAGAGGTTCTGGAATATTGTTTAACAGTGGGTCATCAATGAACTCTGCTCTGAAGTTCCGATGGAGATATACGATGCACCCGCCGCCTTTCTTTGTGCTGCGATCTTTTCGAAATAGATAGTAGTTAGGAATACCTAAAGTAGCAGCCAATGTATCAAAGGAGCACCATGTTTCGGTGACGAAGACTACATGTGAAGTGCTCAGCTGAGTAAGCATGCTTACAAAATGCAACTTGTTTTTTTTATGGATCTTGCGTTAACTAGTATAAGTGAAAGTAGTGTGCACAAAAAGTTTTCTGTAAGTACTTCAAAGGGTTTGGAATCAGAAATGACAGCCAAAGAAATTAAATAAGGGAGTGGTGAAAACAAATCCATCGATGGAATGCTCAGGTGTAAGGGCATTGCTCGCGCTAGTAAGACCGGGTGGATGGAAAAGATTGATGTCCCGAGACAAGGTTGGGCTTTATCTGATATCGAGCTAACCGTGACATTGCATTGCTGTCTACAGGATGTACAGACCTTCAGCAGACCAAAGCAAGCTTTACTCTCAAAGACGGTGCCAAACCCGTATTCCGATCCAAAAGACCGGTACCGTACGCTGCGCTGCCGATTGTTGATGCGGAACTTGATCGTCTGGAGCGGGCCGGCGTCATCCAACCTGTGAACTATTCAGCATGGTCAGCACCTATTGTTGTCGTCAAGAAGACCGATGGAGCCGTTCGTATCTGTGCTGACTACTCTACGGGATTGAATGCTGCTTTGAAAATGCACCAGTACCCTTTGCCAGCCCCAGAAGATATATTTCCTAAGCTCAGTGGTGGCGCTTACTTTGCAAAGCTAGATTTACCAGATGCTTATCTGCAAATTGAAGTCGACGATGCTTCGAAGGAGTTGCTGGCAATCAATACTCACCGAGGTCTTTACCAGTTCAACCGTTTGCCGTTTGGTGTCAAATCAGCTCCTGCGATTTTTCAACAAATTATGGATACGATGTTAGCTGGGTTATCAGGAGTCGCAGCTTACTTGGACGACATCATAATCAAAGTGGCTACCTTCCGAGAGCTGACGGACCGACTGGAAGCAGTTCTCCACCGCGTTAACGACTACGGTTTCCACTTGAAAGCACAAAAGTGCAATACCAGCATGAACTGTGTAAAGTATCTTCGCTTCATCATCGACAAGGATGGCCGTCGTCCTGATCCTTCCAACATAAGCGCCATAAGACAGATGCCTCCCCCTGACAATGTCGCGAAGCTCAGAGCATTCTTGGGGTTGATCAGTCATTACAGCTCTTTTGTGTCGAAATGCATCGGCTACGAGGACCGCTCCATGAACTTCTGGTAAAGGATCGCAAATTTGTGTGGTCTCCTGAATGTCAAGCTGCATTTGATAATGTCAAGTCTATATTGTGTTCTGACCTGTTGCTAACGCATTTCAATCCGGAGCTGGAGATCGTAGTTGCTGCTGATGCGTCAGACTACGGAATTGGAGCAGTCATATCCCACATTTTCCCCAATGGTTCGGAGAAAGCTGTGGCGCATGCGGCCAGATCACTCACCCCAGCGGAACGTAACTATGGACAGATCGAGAAAGAAGCTTTAGCTATAGTGTTTGCAGTCAAGCGATTTCACAAAATGCTCTACGGTCGAAAATTCACGCTGTTTACTGACCACAAACCCTTGGTCGCAACCTTTGGATCAAAGAAAGGCATTCCGGTATGCACGGCCAGTCGTCTCCAACGCTTGGCAACTGTTTTACTTGGTTACGATTTCGTCGTTAAATATCAATCTACACACAACATTGGTCAAGCAGGTGCGTTATCTCGTTTAATTGGTACACAACATCAAGAACCAGAGGATTTGGTAGTTGCTCAAATCTCCGTAGAACCCCAGGTACATCAAGTTGTGTCTGACATTTTCGGTGCCTTACCAGTAACGTTCGAAATGGTGCTGGAAGCGACCCATCATGATTCTACCCTACAACAAGTGATTGATTTCCACCCCAATGGCTGGCCTAAGAGGGTTACAACGCCGGAGCTTCACCAATTATACCAACGGAAGGAAGCACTATCAGTGGTCAGAAATTGCCTGCTGTTCTCAGATCGCGTCGTCATTCCTCACATCCTTCAAGAGAGAGTCCTCCGACAATTTCATACTGGCCACCCAGGAATGAATCGCATGAAATCACTGGTACGAAGATATGTATATTGGCCCTATATGAATTCCCGGATCGAGAACTTAACCAAGAATTGTCCCCGATGTGCCAGTGTATCTAAACAACCAAGGAAGACGGAATTGCAATCCTGGCCAATACCAACGGAACCATGGTCAAGGGTACACGTCGACTTTGCAGGTCCAATTGATGGTCAACATTTTCTCATTGTTGTCGATGCACACAGTAAATGGCCGGAGGTGATTCCAATGGTGAGAACCACAGCAGCAGCCACTGTCTCCGCTCTCCGACAGATATTTTCTCGTTTCGGTGTTCCCCACACGTTGGTTTCGGACAATGGAACACAATTTACCTCATCTGAATTTGTCGTCTTCTGTCGCAGAAACGCGATCGTCCACGTAAGGTCTCCACCTTTCCACCCACAATCGAACGGGCAAGCGGAACGATTTGTGGATACCCTCAAAAGAGCTTTGCTAAAGATGAAGGGGGAAGGTACCTTGGAGGAGATTCTTGACACATTTCTGCTGACGTATCGCACAACTCCGAATCCGCAGACACCGAACGCCCTATCTCCGGCTGAAACTTTGTTTCAAAGGAAAATCCGTGTGCCGCATGATGCCCTCAGGCCCAGGAAGGATCAGTTGCTGTCCTGCAACTATCAGATGGAGCGACAATTCAACATCCGACACGGTGCTCGGAAGCGAAGCTTTAATGTTGGTCAACAAGTTCTGGCAAGAGACTATCGCATCCACTATCCTAAATGGGCTATGGGCCATGTGCTATACAAACGTGGTAACGTGATCTACGGTATCCAGGTTGGGACGGCAGTTTGGGTAAGACATGCCAATCAGCTGCTAGAGGCACGGACTGGGGAACAAGTGCAACAACAAGTACCAGCAACGCAGTTACCTCTGGACATCCTGGCCGACGCCGGTGAAGCGAAGACTCCCCAACATGCCCCAACACAGCAAGTACAACATTCGCCCCGAAACCTAGCAGCACAGCGGCCGAAGCGGCGACGCAAATTCGTGTCACCCATGCAAGTCAGCCCCAAGCTGAAATCGTACAACACAACTCAAAGGGGGGGGAGTGTTAGGAAGGAATACACGAGTCGAACAAGCCAGGACCCCATCGCCTCGGCCGGCAATCCAAACTTATCCGCCCTGATTGGGGCGAACAGAGAGCCAACCAGGAGAAGCGGCCAATGAACGCTAGGTTGAAGTTCCTTTATTGGCTGTAAGTTAACCTTTCCAGAGCTTTCCACGGTCGCTTTAAATATACTATTCACGAACTTTCCATTTTACCTTTATAATGAACGGTGTGATTTGCTAATTCATTCCTGTTGCTCTGCTCGTCCGATTCGTCTTCTCTCTGTCCTGTGGGGGGCAGCGACTTCGGGTTTGATTGGCAATCAAGCGTCCATTCAGGCGAGGGACGAACACTTCATGGATGAACTGCTAGAAAAGTGGAACAAGATAAGCTGCCTCTGCTGGGTGGGTCGATAGTGGGAGTGAGTGCGGAGCCATTCCCGTTTCCGCTGAAAAAGGGTTGAGGTAAAATGATGGATTACGAGGTGGTGTATAGGTATGTCGCATGACAGATGGTATTGTCAGATTTTCAACCTCTTTTTGATTTTCATTTCTCTGTAGAGTTGTTGCAGACATGAGGCTGCTAAGCATGCCTGCCTGTTGGAGGTCGGTAAGTAGATGTAGCCAGAAGATAATTGTTATGAGTTCTAACAAGCTCGAAGTGACGCGTAGCGCCGCGATGGCAAGGCAGTTGTTGACATGCAGATTTGAACGCTACTGAGTTCCTCATAGCTGCGTATCTTGTGTAAATACCAGTCGATGATATAGCTTACATCAGCACGCAAATCTGGGGGCGCATCTTGAGCTTTGTGTGTTTCCCGGTGTTTTTATTTGCTTAGTAACCGTCACATGTTCGTCACATCTAACACTTCCTGTAGCGACTAAAGCGTTTGTGGTCTGAGCAATGAGGCCGTGGTCACGAGTACTGGCGTACCTTAAGTTCGGTTGTCGTACAGTAGGCGTTGATATTACTGCCCCTAGATACTAGTTGTCGAGATGCACGTTGGTAACTGCGGTTGACACACTTGGTGTGCCATTTTCATGTGGATTTGTGTGCGGTTTATCAGCGTAGCTGTTACGGTTTCCCGGCGGTTTCGGTGTAATTCTGAGGAGGGATCGTTACAGAGGTGTACGATTCGGCTTAATCAAATTATCTTTGTACTGGGTACATGTAGTAATGATACGTTGGCTGTGCAATAAACAATCTGCAGATTTTTCGCTTGAAAATTTAAAAAATGACAGAACAGCAATGTCTCGGTGTTTTCTTTTTCAGTCGCAGACATTTACAGGTAACATCGGACAATTTACAAGCGATAAGTGCATTAATCTTTACTTTTTTCAAACTGAATCTGTCTGCTATGTTAAAAGCGCTCATATTTTTTACTCTACGGTTTCTTTCATGTATGTTTGAGGCGATGGAGTCGATTAGGTGACCTGCCTTTTTGAGGTGAACCTGATCAAACTTATCAGATGGGTTGCTAATGTAATCTAGTGAAACTAAGTGATCTTTGAGGGGTTCATAAAAGGCCAAAGTTTTCTTCATTTCGTCGAGCTCTGATTGCAAGGAGCAGATATTAGCACTAAGTTCAGATGTGAGCTGAGAGGCCGGAGAAGAACAGTCTAATGGTAGTTTTACGGTATCACATTTTAATCGATCGTCACCGGCCGAGAGAATTGGTCAGCCGATGCGATCAGCTAGCGGATGCACTACTCCTTCGGGTATACAAGGCGAACATTTATAGGCAACATTACACCAGGAGGGTTAATGAAAAAGCAATTAAAATAAGTATATATATATGTATATATATGTGCTCCTTGCTGAGGTTGATGTTGCATTCATGATGCTTCTTCACCGCAGTTGGGCTAAACCAACTTACACTTAAACTAGGTCTTTTTAATGTGGATAAAATTCATTACATGTTATTTGGTTTGTTCTGCGTACTTTATAATCCTCTCCTTACTTGCACACGTCGCTCTCGCAAATTGTGGTAAACTTGTGTAATTTTATCGCTTTGGTAATTTTTAAATAACTTTCGGACATTTTGTACTTATCACGGATTCACTTATAACCAATTTCTTCTATATGCTCATTTAGCGAGTATTTATGTCGTCATATGTGTTTACTTTAATCGATATCGGAATTTCGAATGATTGGCTGTTGTTTGACATCCCAAGTGTGGCTGCGTTGGATGTGCATGTTGACAAGGTGCCTACCTGTCTATTACCCACTGCCTCGTCCATACTGTCTCTAGGAGACAGTTGGTCGTTACTGGAGAGGACGGGGTGCACGGTCCTTGTGGTCGTGCTAGGCTCGAAGAGTGGTTCCATGCACTCAGTGTGGAGCGGACTACGGTCCAGCCACCACCTTGTGTGCGCTTGATTCCCCAAATACAGCGTGCTTGTGTCTGTCTGTGAAGGAGTGCGGGCCGGCTGCGTTGATGAGATGTGGCTCCCATCCACATGCCTCCCGGTCTTATTCCTTCGGGTTTACACTGGATATGGGGTGAGTGTTTGGAGTTGTGGATGGTGCAGTGCAAGCCACCCATGGTCACTCTGTGGGCACAGGCGTCCTGCGGCTGGCCATAGTGCCAGGCAAATCCGAAACCGGATGCCGCCAACCATATATATATATATATATATATATATATATATATATAATGTGTGGTACAGATATTGTGCCATCGGAGTCATGGCTGAATAGGAAAACAGTATGAATAATAAGAAAAAACAACATCAAGAAACGCTTTTCTTGTCTAGTTTATCACTCACATTTTTTGAACTTGTTTGTCAGTTTTTTCCTTTTTTAGGGGGAGGAAAAATTGACACCGCGACGTACTGGTGCACACGTCCGCCACTGACGACAGTCAATCGACTGATTTTGTAAACAATGGACCTAAAACGGTTGTCAGTTTCATATGCCAGGATCCATTATTTCTTGTTCGCATTTGTTGCTCATAATCACTGCACCCTAAGTTCGAGCACATGGTTCTGTATACGCTTGGGCTCCCTCGCAGTATCCTAACCAGAGTACAATCACTTTCAGTTGCATGGAAGTCAGGTGTCAATGTAAGTTAATTATATACTATTAATACCAGTCTGCTCAGGCCACACAACAAAAATCGTAATTTTTATTTTGAAACACAAAGAGGGAAAGGATCAATGTACTTTTTCAGTAGATGGTTTCCGTAACTAGACATTTGAGAACGGTCTACTAAGTTGTGTACATCATCGACAATCTTGTTCTCACCACAGATGATCCAGCAGTCAGTTGGAAGGCTACGAGCCACTGAAGCTAAACTACAGCACTGTATTATGGAATTCACAGCTAATACAGGGCACAATATTGGCTGTATCGGGATGGCACTCGCGAACCTTGGACATCTTTTGGGTGAGCTCTAAGTAGTTGGTGGTTTTTTCATCGATGGTTTCACAAGCTCTACTGCTGGGCTTCCAGACGTCACCGGATAGAAAGAATTGTCTCCAGTGTAGTTAGCGATGATGTATGGTTGAGTCTAGTCTTCCCTCCATTTCCATTCTGCAATCCATCGGCATGGTAATAACTGGAAATATCATGAAGTGGGAGTTTTGAAACATTTGAACCAATGATTGTGTTGACTCTTGCGGGTGTTTGCTACAATGAGTGATGTCTTGAATTGTGTGTTTATGGCTATGGCCAGTCCATTGAGAAGCCATTGTCAGTACACTTCGGGCAATGTACTTAAGAGTGTGAACAATAATCTTTCAGAGATCGAGGGTGTGAGGATTCCTTGAAGTAAAAAGCAGTGGCGTTGGCTTCCTGTTCATGGCAGCTGCATGCGGATCACCTGATGACATCGATCTGACATGCATCGTCTAGACACGACACAACCTGACATTGGCTGTCACTCGGGCTTAAACATACTCTAGACCACCGGTAACATCAACTCTGCCGGTAGCTGGCACACAGCTGGTCAATACGGTGGATGAAGAGTCGAAAGAATCATATTGATATTCGGAAATGACTAGCCGTCAGTCCACTACACTTAAACGGTGGCATCGTCTAGATCCACGTAGCTGAAACAGCAATACATCTTGTAGGTTCTCTTCTCAACATGCAGGCAGTAATCGTGATTAATGTACGCTATGCATCGTCTACAGTGACTCAAATGGAGTAGACTACTTCCAGTTACACAGAAAGTAATCGAGTCACTTTGCGCTTCGCAGTTTGTAAAACCAGAGTTGATCGTTTGTGCTGAACTTAGTAAAGCAGCAAGACATATATATATATATATATATATATATATATATATATATATATATATATATATATATATATATAATGTCATAGCCAACCTTAGTAAAACGATTCCAGACATGCTAGCGACCGATTAACCAGACGACAGAATTTATGTGCGCTTTAAGACATCTAATTGTTCGTTCGGGAGCAATTCAATTGAGGAGGTTGAGTGGAGCGAACTGAGACGATTGAGAATACCGCGAAAAGCAGTGACGAACCAATTCGTTTTTGCAGAAATTCGTTGTGGTGGTAAACCGCCAAACTTTGGGGCGTGAACTAAAACAAATTGAGGCTGACCAGCCGGTCACTCACATCAATACATACACAAACAGTGTATTTCTCGATATGCGAGACACAGGCAGAATACGAGCCTGATCAATTGGGACAACAAAGTCGGATAGCGGAGAGATTTTTCAAGATCTGTTATGTTCTCAATGAAGTTGGTGAGGTGCTCAGTCAATTAAAAAGTAGTAAAATGGGGCGAAGTTGAGAGTAGGAATAAAAGTAGATACAGTCGTTAGATCAAGTAAAGTCCTACTACCCTTCATGGAAGCGTCTACCGGGGACCTATTTCCATACTTCACTTACATATCTCATCTGGTCATGTGCTGTCGCGGCTAAAATGAAGTAGGCAATAATTTTTTGATTCGTTATTTTAAACTTTTTCCACCGCACGATGAGGTCTAGCTTGAGTAGATCGAGGTGCTTAAAATTCATTTCGTCGATAGTGTATGCACTGATGATGTGTGTCGATAGGATGGTATGTTCGCTGATGCTTCTTGGATTTCCTACTGGCTAAATCCAATGTAAGGATGCCTTCCACACAAGTTAAACCTGTTTAGCAGACCTACAAGAAGCCGCTAGTTATGAGAAAAATTAGCTCTGCACTTATCGCGGAAGTGGAAAGTAAGGTAGGTTGTTGATAAGAAACACAGATGACAAGCTGTAATTCAAAGTTACACAGCCATGACACCTGAGGTGAGCATGTAAGAATCCATAGATCTCGAAATAAAATGTACCATATCACATAATACACAATACTGGTTATATGGATGTTTTGAGCTAACTTTCATGCATGCTACGATCGATTCACATTCAGCGGAACGCCAATGGCACCTCGAAAGACCCCGAAGGTATAAATTGCAACTGATCGTGTCGGAGTGCAAGCATAACCCCGAATTGGAGACCGCAGTAGCCGCTTTTAATTGTATCAATGAACTGTGCTCGGAGCTCATCCACCAAGGTACCGATCTCCAAGTAAGTGATACTCAATTTACGCATTGGTAGACAGAAAAGGCGACAGCATGAATGGACAGTGCGCCAAGAATGTCGATATTTTATTCAATTTGTGAGACAAAGCTTCGTTGTAGAGGAGCAAACAACGCCATTGTAAACAGCCATGAGCGTACTGTAAGACACATAGTGGGTAGCAATTCGTAGTATGAAAGATTCACTGAAACAGCACTAAGTAAGGTATAGCAGCGCATGTCCTGCAGAAACAGTATGAACGAGTCAACGTGCGGAAAAGTATAGCAGGTTAGATACTGGAAACAACAGATTCTTGATATGGCCGAATGACATCACTGCCATGGTTCATTGTTCGCAGTAGAACGCGAAGAAGTGTGATACCAACATTATCAGTCCGGGTTAGTGTGCACTGTGAAGAGCAAACAGTAATTGCACTGTGGACGATTGGAGTGACCGGATACCATTACGTGAAATTAAAGGCAAAGCGGTTATACGACCAGGAAGTTGCATGTAAAAATTGTTGGCTGAAGAGGCTGTTCCGTATCCGATAAAAATGCAAGGCCTGACGTAACTGAGGGAGAGATCTGGTGCCGAGTAAGGATTATTGAACCTACCGAATCCAACCAGCTGTAATGACGGACAGGGTTGGAGTAATAACTACACGTAAAAATAAGTGATGTAGCTTTTAGGTAACCATTGACAACATCAGCACGAAGGTGTGTCGCACCGCCGCTCCACTGCCACGCGACCATCAGCAAAGGCACACGGACTACGGACACTGCAAGGTTGCCCCACCTACGCCGATTCAAACAGGTGACCTATGGGTTACCTCCCTTCGGTCACTGACCCAGCTGGACCATTAACTAGTTGCTGAACTAATCCTTCATCCATCTTTTAGGTAACGCAACAGTTGCTGTTTCAGCGTTTGTCGTAGTTGGTTAACCAGTATCGAGACATGAAGAACAAAGCATATCTAACATTTCGAAACTTGGCCCCCATCAAACACGCCACTCTCGTTAGCTATTAATAACGTAGCCCAAAACAACAACCTCACTAGTTTGACACATAGATCAGACCAACTATGGCAAAAAATTCATTCATCAGTGATTCGGTATGACACGTTCCCAATGACTATCGTTAACTCGCTAGGGAGCAAATGCTCCTAAATCAGCTTCCGCCATTCGGTCTCACCTTGTCCGCTGCCAGTGTTTTGTCGTATTGCAGAGCGACTAAGCAGAACATCAGCTGCCTATTTGTATCAGATTCCTGTATAATCCTGACTGAGCACATTCTCTGATGAAGCAGCACAAGGACGCTCCGGTTTTGGTTAAGTATTAGCCCAATATCGCTAGCAGGTGACAGATTTTTAAAGCTAAATACAGACCTCGTCTGATGGGTAAATGAACAGTCGAACCTACATGGCTGCTCCAGCAACAAAGGTCTAAGCGGAGTTAGAGCTTAATAGAGACGTAAGTGGAGCACGTAGACTGTCCGCTAGATGCAAAGGTCATCAGAAAGGGCGTGATACGACATTTGACCATTCCTCCGGAGTTGAGAATCGAGCGCGAATTGATCAGCTAGCCAATACAAGCCCGGGTCAAAGGAACCGAATTTTCCCTCAATATGGTAGACCCGCGGAGCGAAATTCAATCACGCTGACTGAACACCAGACGCAGAAAAGTGAGTGAGCTTGATCTCCGAAATTAGCATATTTTCGTTTATCAATAAATAGAGTTAACCTATCCTGTAGATATACTCTTTGTCTGCCTAGTTCTGGCCTTTTGTATTCCTTGGGTTGGCTGGCCGAGTGACTGAGCACTCAGACAGTCACAGTATCACAGGGCAGCAAAGAAGCAGTACAGCAGAGCTTCACATTAATTGGACACAACCTCCATCACGTGTGGTTTATTAGACAAGGGAGGAAAGAGTAGCGTCACCTGAGTGAACACGCACAAGGATTAGCCCACCTGAAAGAAGGCTTTCATCACCCAAATTTTGTGCACTCTACTGGCAGATACCTGCAGATACTCTGCCCACGACACAAATACTCCATCGTGCAGAGGTAAGGGAGATACAGGAGTGTCGTGATGACATTTTGAGTATTGTCCGTAAGTAAAATGTTGCTGCATAAAAGTGACAGCGACAGTGTGTTCGAGTAAGCTGCAAACGAAGGGCACAGTTGAAATTACTGGTCATTTTGTTACAAATGTGTTTCCTATTTGAACAAAGTGAGGAGTATTCTTTACTTTTTGTTATACATTTCAGGAAGTGATTAGCCAATTTCTCATTCAAACAAAGGTTGTGATTGGAGCAGATAAGACCCGGACGACTGGTGGGCCGTTGCTAACTTCTGGAGCTGGAGCCTACATTCTCAACCCATCGGCCGGGGTGAGCCTCTCAGAGGCGGAAAGAGAAATGAACAGCGTACGCGAAGAGCAAACGAATATAAACAGGGCAAAACAACTGGAGATGGAAGCGATTCAAGCAACGCGAACTGGACGCAAGTTATTCAACGATATTGTGACGCAGTGCGCGATACACCTTATGCAAACAAAAGACGGATAAACATAAAATGACCTAAAGCCATTCGTGCACAAACGGATCTGAAAACGGATGAACCAGCAGCAGCAGGACAGCAGGCTTGTTGATGGAGACTCATGTGCATTGTAAACACTGTAAATGCCATGTAACTTACTTACTAACAACTAATTCTCGTGAACGGGAAACTAACCCGTCCGACATACCTCGTAGGGTAGCAAAAACGCTGCGTTCAGCAGAACTAAACTCAGTAGAACTGTCATTATTCGTCTAGCAACAGTAGCACACAGTTGTAAGCGATATTTTACCTGAGATGTCCATGATACCATAAGCCAATTGGCGGATTAATTTTTGGAATTCGTTGCTCCAAAGAAGGATAACCGCGTCATCGGCGCAGCAAGTAAACAAATATTTCTCGATCGAAAGAAGCTGGTCCAAAGCAGGGTCAGATCCAAAGTGTTACAGATGTTTCGTGCTCCAGCATAAGAAGAAAGTAATTATGTTTAAGTACGGAGATTAGGAGGTAGTGTCAACAAAAGTATGAACGTGTGAAAGTAGGCTAGGATTCCTTAAACTTTGACAATATTTTATTTTTATGCACAACTGATGCATGTGGAATTTTCAGATGCTCATTGGCTTCGAAGATGTCATCTATGTAACAATGGTTTATAACGAGTAAAACAGTACAGGCTTAAAATATCCTGTAGGTTGGTAAGAGAGGAAACTGAAACTGAAATTGAAGTAAGCGGACTAAGTAAAATACGCATCGATGGAGCGATAGAGTAATAACGTATAGAAGATGGGTTGTGCGAGTGAAAAATTGCCGGGCGAAACGAAATAACAAATTGCTTTAGTTAATACGCATTGCAAAAGACAATCAGATTGCATGTCTCTCAGCAGTGTGTTGGGTGCGACACTGTGGGTCATAAAGCCAAAGAGGTTAGGTAGCCTGAATATACACAGCAAAGCTGTTTAGGTAACAAGTGTAGAGCCTTAAATTCGATATCCAACCGTTTTTTGAAAGTGGCTAGGGTAGGTGCACAGGCAACCGAGTTTGGAAGTGCGTTCCAGGGTTGGCGGACCGGGGGGGGGGGGGGAAAGAACTATGTGCGTCGACAATCTAGACGACTATATTGTTGACTCAGTTTCAGGCTACTGCCTCGGAGGTTGGCGTTCGAGTTGAGTTTCAGTAGGTAGCCGCATACGTGAGTGGTGTCGCTCAGTATCTGGCAGGTTAATATGGGGTCTCCACGTAGTCGCCAGTAGCGTCCACTGAACACTCCCAGTGACTTCAGTCGTTGCTGGTACGGAAGGTAGCGTAATCCCTTGACAAATTTCGTTGCTCGACGTTGAGAAGTTTCGAGTGCTGCAAGATCACGTTTTAACTAAGGATACCAAGCCTAGATTGCATATTCTACGTGTGGACACGTATAGGCGCTGCGCATCAGCAGGAATATGGATGAATCCCAATTCTCGAATGTCGACCGCAAGAGACCAACATGCTGGTTACCCCTTTTTGAAGCGGATTATGACTGTCTGGAACAACCGAGATTGTCCTGTACAAGCACACCGAGGTCACCTTCCTGGGAACAATAATGAAACAATGGTTTGTTACGGGTAAAAAAACCATTGTTTAACAAGTTCCGTGGGATGGAAATTATTGCGGAAAGTGAATTGCATGATAAAGTGAGAAGCGTTTTGGTGGACTCACCATAGAATTATGTAGAATAGCGGAAAGGTTCGCCTTTTTTTATACAAGTTAGCTAGAGGTGGGGAACACCTCAGCTACTGTGCCGTAATACAAAGAAGAAAAAAAATGAGAGAAAAAGAAAACAACTGGTGAAAGCTGGCTGAGCTACCGGTAACGGATGGGCATCGTTCTGGTAAGCTACCAGCCGGCTGCTGTGCACCCAAAAAAATTATTATGCAAAATTATATAAGGCTAAGTAATGAGATCGTGGTTGGAGGGGGAGGCTAAGAGGGATGGGGTGGGACAAAGAAACTCACAGCACGAACGCCACTGAGGTCGGCTCCTAGCCATATCAACAAGTGTGTCCAACCAAACGTGTTCATCGTCTTTCGGACCTCAACCAGGGAGCCGAGACGCTCTAACCGAGGCCAGTTCAGAAGTGAGGGTCTTCATTCCTCTGGACCAAGTCATCGCTTGGCCACCCCTCCTCTTCTTCCATCCACACCCCCGGCGCGCAAACAACACGCGTCGCGGAAGTCGATGGGCTGGCATGCGTAACACGTGGCCGAGCCATCGGAGCCTGATAAGTGAAATAACGGTGCTGAGCGGTTCATTTCCTTTTCCTGTGCCGTAAACAAGGCGTCGAACACGCTCGTTACTCACGCGGTGTTCCCACCAAATGTGAGCTAAATTACGAAGGCACCGGTGGTCGAACGTAACTAGCCTCTTCAGGTCCGCTGCTTTAAGCGGACAGGTTTCACAACCGTACAATAGGGTCGAACATACTGCTGCATTGTACACTCTACCCTTCAGGGTGAGAGTGATGTCGCGCCGGCGCCATAAGTGGCGAAGGTTAGCGAAAGCGCCTCTAGCTTTTGCTATACGATTCGTGATTTCATCTTCAATCCCACGGGCGCTGATACAACTTCCCAGGTAGTTGAATTTTTGAACGACTTCTAGCTGATCCCCACCAAGGGTCAGCACAAGAGGCGGTCCAGACCAATCTTGGAGAAACGTTTTGCACTTCGAGGATGCGAAGCAAAGCCCGAAGTGACGGACAGCCAGTGCTAATCTGTCCAGTGCCGCTTGGCACGTTTATGAGCTGTCACAGATGAGGGCAATATCATCAGCATAATCTAAATCAAGAAGTCGTTCTCCTGGGAGTAGCTCCACACATTCTAAGTCGTGTGCTGTAAACGTGATTTCCATGACTTCGTCAACAGCGAAGTTGAAGAGGAAAGGTGACAACGGGCATCCTTGTCTCACGCCGCTGGAGATATTGAAGGGTGGCGACAGCTTGCCGTAAGCCCTCACTCTGCCCGAGCTACGCGCATATAATGCTTGGATAATATTTACATATTTCTCAGGTACACCTTTCCTGAGTAGACATTCCCAAAATTCATGTTTATCCACTGAATCGAATGCACCTTTGATGTCGTGGAACACGACAATGGTGGGCCGCCAATATATGTGATGGTGCTCCAACAACTGACGCAAGGTGAAGATATGGTCAATGCAGCTACGACCTCGACGAAATCCAGCTTGCTCTTCACGAATCTGGCTTTCACGAGTGCCACTCAGTCTGTGAACGATGACAGAGGCAAGCAATTTGGAGGCGATGGGGATCAGACTGATTCCTCTATGGCTGCCGCATTCCGATCGTAAGCCTCCTTTGAAAATTGGGACTACGATGGAGCGGCTCCAATCGGTTAGGACAGTTTCCTGCCCCCACAGTCTCACTAGTAACTCGTGTAAATCATCCACAAGAGCAGGTCCCCCGAATTTGAAGAGGGCGGGAGGAAGGTCATCAGGTCCCGCGGCTTTATTTAACTTCAACAGTCCGATCTCACGTTCGACTTCTGAGCGAGAGGGTGGATCCAAAGGAACAGCCCACGGAGCAGGGCGATCAGTGGCCGGAGAGAAATCTAACAATTCCGACCGATTAAATTGCCTTTCAAAGTGCTCATCCCAACGTTCCAAGCGTTTTGGCAAGTTGTGCATAGGCTGTCCACTCTCGTCACGTATAGTTTCACTAACACCAGGTCTCCTGCTGCCCGTCTCCCGTAAAAGACGGAATAACTCACGATGGTTACCAAGGGCAGCGGCCATTTCCATCTCTGTTGCACGACGAGACCACCAGGATTCGCGGTCTCTCTTCAGGCTAGCACGGAGTTTTGCCCGGAGCTCTTTGCGAGTTTCATTGTTTTCGCTTCCAACCGGAATATGCCGGCGAGCATCTATAAGTTCCAAAGACTGCGACGAGACCCAATGTTCATGTTGGCGACTAGACATACTGCATGAGGATTTGCCTGCTGCTAGTAAGGCCTGTTGCATATGAGACCAGTGAGCTTCAATTGCATCCAGTGAGCGTTTAGCCAACTCGGATGACAGCGTAATTTGATAGGCGTTCAGAACAGCTGGATTCACCAGTCTGCCGGTGTCAATGTGCTCACAACATCGTCGCGGGCGTCCGCCAAAACGCATCCGCAGGTCAGCACATACAAGTGCATGATCGGTGTCAACACCTGTGCTCCAAATCGAGCGACAGTTCTGGACGCAGCCTCTCCAGCGGTAACTGATAGCAATGTGATCGATCTGCGTTCGTAGCTGGTTCGAAGCTGGTGGGCGCCAAGTCACCCTTCTGCGGGTGCTGTGTCGGAAATTAGTGCTCGCAACAAATAAGCGAGCATCCTCACACAAATGAAGTAACCGCTCACCGTTATCATTACGGGAGCCTATACCATGTTGGACGCCCAGATGCAGCTCATCTGTGGATAATTTTCCAACTTGAGCGTTCAGATCCCCAGCCAGCACTACAGTGTCCGAGCTTCTTCTGCGGCGAAGGAGTTCGTTCAGTTGGCGATAGAAGTCGTCTTTTACCGAATCATCGCTACAGTTCGTGGGTGCATAGGCAGCGATAACGAATAGACACCTGTTAGTCCCACGCGACTTCAAAGTTTTGAACGAGCCAGCCAATCGGACCGCACATATCCGGCTACTGATTGGAATCCAATCAACCAGAGCAGCTTCAGCCCGGGGACTCAGGGCAATACCAACATCGGCTTGGCCGGTGCTCGAAGCTGCATCGTCACCGGATAGGCGCAATGAGAAAGTGCTGCTAGTGTCACTTAAAGGGGATCTCAGAGTGAGTACAGAGCTCGAGTCTTGCAGGCGAGTCTCCGATAAGCAGCAGATATCGATCGAGAGGGTCTCTATTGTTCAGGCAAGTGCTGTCTGTTGACCGATCTGAAGCAATGTGCGAACATTGAGGCATGCCAATCTGAAGGAGGATCGAGGGCTCCAAATGGAAGCCGATAAACTGGAATGGGCCGCTTGCTTGGACA